CGTACAGTTGCCAGCTGTCAAACTGGTATGGTTGTAGATTAAAAATATATAAATTATTACAAGAAAGACTACGCTGAAGTTTTCGTCTTTAGTAATTGTATTTTTTTTTTATCAATAAAGGTGATAAAATAGATCACCTACATTTAATTGATGACTTGATAAAAATAGATAGACAAAAACTCACCAATTAAAGCTATTAACAGGAGATACAGTCCACCCCATAAACATAGAGCGGTCTTCATTTTAAATATCCGAAATTCGTCCTCACTTTCACTTGAAAACACCACTATTTCACGTTCATACCGACCGTAATTAAACAACTTTAATGACGCCTGTATTTAATATCAAACCCTATTGTAATAAATTGCAATACTTTAAAATAAATCTAAAGAACGGCTACATTAAAAACACTTGCTTAAAACAAATTCGTATTTGTTTCGTAAACGTCAGTGTCCACACGAGAAATGGCGCTAAAGTTTGACAGCTCCTTTCCCTCACACCGGGCAGTGCCGTTCGAAAGCCAAACGCCTACTGAGCGTTCAATGGCCAATACAGACTAAAAGACAGCATGAGCAACTCCGAATGAAATTATACGACGGCCGAATCGTGAAATAATTAATTAGCGCCGAGTTCTATATAAAGATCTGACCGTCTTAAAATTATCGTTTAACCTTATAGCTTTGTTTACCATTAAACATCAAACATTTCACTCGAAGTTTCAAATTTCAATCAATAAATAAATTAGAATGGATCGAGAGATAAAATTGAAACCGTTATTTTTTTTTCTATATAAGATTTTTGTTTACCGTTAAATAAAATTCGTATTTGTAATTCAATCAAATCAAATTAAAGAATGTATTAAAACAGGATATTAATCATACTTTACTCAAAAAATTTGATAGCTCACTGGATTTATACGCTTTACAAACGCAAAGGAATGTTGATATGTAATTGGCCACACAACATTTTTCGCAAACCAGTTATATTGAGCATCGTCAAAAAGGCGTGTATAGACATTGAACTCCTAAATTATCGATGCAATTCAGAACAACCCGTTTTAGATTGTGATTAATTCGGAGTTTAGGCTTTTTATACGGGACTACAACATTACTACAAATTGAAATTTAAAAAAAATTATAAACTCATGGACCCCTAGGCCTACAGATGTCTACATCGCCCATAACAACCCTGGGGTAGTGGATGGGCTGCTTAGTTATAAAAGTCCCTTTCCCCTAAACTTTTGTTTTGGGGGTTACTTCACAGACCAGACAATACGCCAAAAGTACAATACTTTCACCTCACGCTTGTCTTCTGTAAAGTCGTTATACTTGTACTTCGTACTTGAAATCAGACCATAATCGTAAATTTAATTTAATTGTAGTATATAATTATATGTAAAGCCGTGCTTGTTCAGTGCCCAGGCGCTCGCCTTTTTAACCGACTTCAAAAAAGGAGGAGGTTTCTCAATTCGACCGTATATATTTTTATTTTTTTTATGTGTGTTCGTGGATAACTTTTTTTGACGGAAAGGAGATATCCTAAGGGTGGCACCATGATAAGGAAATCCGGATGTGATGATGGCATCCACGAAAAATCAAGGGCCATCATTGAATGTTATAAGTATTAACAATGTTTTAAATTTTCTGATTGAAGTCGATGTTTTTTTTTGCAAAACATTATACTTGTAGTCAATATACTCGAGCAACTTGAGTACGATTCCCGATGCCGGCACAAATGAAATTGTTAATTTAAGTGCTTATTAATCACTTGCCCAGTGGTGACGGAAAACATCGTGAGGAAACCTGCATATTTTCGAAATAAAAACAAAATAAAAGATTTCGAAGTTATGTGAATTTCACAGAGAGAACCCAATCCGTAGAGGGTCGCGTGGTGGACTATGCCCTGATACCCCTGTACTATACCCAGCAGTGGGACATGTAATATATATAATAATATATAATACACTATAATTATATATTATAACTAAATAAATAAATAGTACCCGGCGGACCGAGCTTTGCTCGGTTTGTTTTTTTTTTTGGTAAATCGTGAATTTTGGAAAAGATACAAATTACTGAGTAATGAAATATGCATAATATTTTTCGATCTTACCTACGTAATAATAAAAAAATATGAACTGATGTTTTTCACAAAAGAAAGAACTTTAAAAAAAAAGGGAAAAAAATAACAAAATAACAAATCGACAAAAAATTAAAAGTAAAGAAAGCAATGATCTGGAATCAATAAAAAGTTAAAAAATAAATGTGTAAATGATCGTGACGCGAACCACGGCCGTCTGTTTTGGGGCCGCCCGATTACCGACCGAGTTACTATGACATTTTCTCTTGCGGCGAAATTTACCGTCATATTCGAATTATATTTTTTCATTCCCTGAAAACAGGGATAAAAGGACATTTTCTAAAAATGAAACCTAGCTAGATCGATTTTTCGCCCCCGAATCTATGCACATACTAAATTTCATGAAAATCGCTGGAGCCGTTTCCGAGATTCCGATTATATATATACAAGAATTGCTCGTTTAAAGGATAAGATATTGTTTAGTGACATTTTATATTTGATCAAATCAACGTACGTCCTTTATTCGGAAAATAGCAGCAACTGTAGATCAAGTCTGAAAAAAAAACTTAAGCATTTCACATTAAATATTCTTGATGACTCGATTAGCGCAGTTGCTCAGTTATAGTCTCCGACACTTGGTTCGATTCCCATTCTGGAAAAATATTTGTATGACCCAATAATATGTTTAATTGTTCGTAAAGCACGCTAGTGCGCAAAAGAATGCGTAATGTATATATTTTATTTTATTTATTTAGGCTTTCGAAGATATGTGAAGTCCGCCAATCCGCAGTGGGGCCGCGTGGGGGACTATGCCCAGATACCCTCTGTATAGAGGAGGCCTTTGCCCAGCTGTGGGACATGTATAGGCTGTTACTTTACTTTTACTTTGCAAATTGGACGTTAAAATTCAAATTCAAAATATCTTTATTCAAATAGACGCTTGCGCGTTCTTATGGAACGTCGAATATTACATAATAATTGATACATAAGTTCGTAAGTAAGTTACCACTAGTTTTTTGTTTCTCTTAAAAACATTGCCCTCACTTTAGGATAACATTATCCGGTGTTGTAAGGACGTTTAACAAACATAAATTTCACGTGGACAAACACCTAGATGCGAAACAACTAGCTATAGGTCACACAAATAGTAGTCCCGTGTGGGAATCGAATCCATAACGCCGATGCCGAAGCCAATACGCCGCGTAGAGTTGAGAGTACGTTTTCGCATGTATGCGTTTTGATATCGCAAGTGTCGGATATGACTGTAAAGTCGAAGTTGGGTATCCATGTCACAATTGCGACATCAGTTACTATCCATTTCACCCCTTACAGTGTGGAGCTGGTGGAATAATACATCAAGTTGCCACCGATCGAAACATCTGGGGTAGTTAAAGTTAGTCGTCTTAAACGCCAACGACCTGTCAGACTGTCTTCGCGACAGTTTCGAATGATATAATTATGTGATTTTTATTTTAAATTATTAGTATAGCGTGAAAAAAACAATTTCAAATATTTTCACTTTTGTCACAGTTGGTGCGCTGAACTACACCACCATAAATCGTCTTTTTTGTAGAAATTGTAATCGACAACTTTTCTGCAATAGATGAGTTTTGAATGCGTTAAGAAAGCTCTGGAATGCGGTTATGTATAACGTACATGGGGTTAAAAATCCAATTAAATAAGTTGTTAACAAATCAGCTTCCGCTGCAACCGATCGCACTTACCGAATGATAGTTGAAAGAATTTTTTATGCACCGGAAGCTCGTTTATTGACTTTCAAAATTGCGATACCACACGCGATGGGAATTGCCCCGTTCCAGACCACTGTTACGAGCGAGGTTTTTCTAATTATGCACGACGTGTGTAGCGATGAATTATAATGACGTCGTTAGATGTTATATTCATATAATTTTTAGTCATAATATATTAGTGATAAGCAACACATTATATTTGCATCGTGGAAAGCAAGCCAATAATATATTCATTAGGTATTGGTTGTCAAGATAAGTAATAATGTCTTAGAAATACTATTTAAAATAATAATAGTTGTTAATAATCACAAAAAAGTATTTAATATTAATGCATAGCTCCATTGCACGCTTCTTAGCATTTTATGTTGAAGGCCTAGGTTGTTCTCTCTAAACTCAACACTTCCTTCTGGCGTTAGTAGAAAAGTGTTTAGTTTTTTAACTGGTATAATCTTTTTAGGTTTCTAACAAGCATCAATATCAAAATCAATACAAAATTACAAAATAATTGACAAATGTACATCAGAGTCATCTGTTGACAATATATTACAATTAGGTAGGTTGATTATTCAATCAACCTACTTGATTGTAAATGTATTGCCGTTCATTAAAATAATATGAATAAAACGTAGAGTAATTACTTAAAATTTGGAAAAAAATATAAAAATTATTTTATTTACCTAGGTACTAGCATCACTATGTGCTTATTGAACAAAATTACAGTGACATTTTTACTCATAGAAGTACCTCTATTCATTGACAGATGGCGCTTAATTCGAACAATATTTTGACAGTAGTGATACAGGTTATATATTGACTAGTGACATTTGTCTATGTCTTTGTAACGCATAGTACAAAAGTATTTTGAATTTATGACATCTTTAGTATTAAATTTTTGTAAATCCAAACAATACAGTTAAAAATTTAAAGTGCTTAATAAAAGAATAAAGGCAAGAAATTCGAATAAAGTTTTATCTAAGTCTTAAATGACGCCATCTTCAGAATAATATAAAGACTGCTCTCTAACTGCGGCACTTTGTTGGCAGTGAACGGAACGAAGCGCTGTCGTATAGATCGCTGGCTGGCCGTCTGGCTGAAAATAGTGAACGAAGTATGAGTTTTCGAAATATGTTCGAATAAAAAGTGAACAGTGAGTGACTGTCATCGAGCAAGATGGTTGATGACGTGAAAGATATTACGGAAAACGCTGAAAGTAAAGGTATTATGTGCATTTAAAGTTGATACGTGCTGTTATAGTGTGAAATGTGATCAAAATTGTCTAACCCTAAATCGCGTCGTGGCCCCACGTCGTGGGTTCGTGCACAGCTTTCGAGAACGTCCGCAGTGGGATGTGGTCGACGCAATTCGATGTTTTGTTTTTCGTCTGCATTTGGACGTCTTTTTTAACGTCGCGGTATGTTCTATAATTAGAAAATCGGGCGCCAGGCGGTGAGAAGTGCGCTGGAATGTGCCAAAAATGATCGGACCGCCTGTCATTTGGTTACCGATGATGCGGTTTTGCCGGATTCCGTACATAGTAACCGTTATTTCAATCCATTATTCGCGATTTTAATGCCTATAATGCATTTTTGGGTTTACCATAAAGTCACCTACGGGGCGTATGTTGTGCCACTTGTCATGTATTATTTTATCAAGAGATAGCCGTAAGTACATATTTTTGCATGCATGTGTGTACATTATATATTTTTCGGGCGTCACGTTCACACACACCTGTAACCAGCACTTTCTAGTTTATCTTATCAGCTTATATTTACATTTTTATGTGCATACTGCAATATATTACTTAGCTATGTTCTAGGATAAATTGCATTACCAGGGTGATATCTTTGATAATGATAAGTCAGGATAAAGATAATTCTTTAAATTGAGCTGTAGATGGCACCAAATAAGTTGGTAAATTTCATAGCTCTTTATTAATAACTTGTATAAATTTTATGTTGTCTCTGAAAGATTTCATTCTTAACATTGCCTTAAAATATACCTATTATTATATATTGCCAACATCTTTGAGGTGCCATTCTTGAAAATGATATTTTATGCTTATATAAACTGGCACTGACTAAATTTAATATTAGCCGCAAATATTCTATTGTACTATTTATTATTTGCTTAACACCATTATTTATTTAGACTATTATAAATGGATTATTTGAAACACAAGTTTATATTCAAAGTGGGAGTAAACATATCATATTGTATGTTGTGACTATTGATAATTTATGCATAGACTTGTGAAATATGCATGTATTTGGAAATATATTTCAATCAAGTGACCACCAATATCAAATTCAATTACTTTCCAAGTTCATTTCTCACACAAAAAATAAATTAAATAATAGATTAAATGTCCAAAATATAACTATTTTTTTTTTAATGAACCTAACTTTATTTATCTAATATTTACAAAATTAAATCTATCTAAAATTACATATTGTTGTACAACTAAAGTTAAGGCAATTTCCAAAAGTTAGACAAAAATATGCAACAGTGAGTATTAATTACCACATAAATAAAAAAATGATCTTTTTACTTGTATTCATACCTTTGATCATGAATCCCATGTGCCACTATCCAATTTTTTCACTTGGCTGTCTTTTTTTTACGAGATTGAATAGAAAATTTTTTCATTGAAACTAAAAGAGTTAATAAACATGTCAATTAACTGTTCTAATAACAAATGAAATTTTGGCTGTTCAAATCAAAATGCAAAGGTGGCATAATATAATGTGTAAAACTGCAAAATAAAATACAGAAATGTGAGTTCAATGTCCAGAACACGTGACCTCCCACTGAGCTGTGAAAAATAAACATTTAGCCCCACTATAAACAAATCTATTTATAGAGACTCCAGTTCAAACATCAATCTTTGATTTTTATGCTTAAAGCCTTCTAAAATCATGCTTTTTGTATGTTGTTCTTTCATATGAGCTTCCTTCTTACAGGCACCTAGGCACCTTCTGCCTCTCCAATTTGATGATCCCTTAAAAAGGGATTGTTTACCATAAAAGTTAACAACTCATTTTTATCTTTATAAATGATCACTTGGTAACAAATCATCAGTTATGCCATCATGAGTATATCAATTGACATTTTCCTAGCATAAAACAAAGCATGTTTAAATGCAGATATTAGTAAATCAAACACTTTCAGTCTGTAAAATGTGGGTCATGTTGACACATGATAATCAGGTTATATTAACAAATATGAAATGTCCATTAAAATACTGAAGCCTCTTAGTAGTAAAGGTTTAATTAGAGAAAAACTGACCTACGAGTCAGACTTCTCACATAAGGTTGTGTTTCGGTCTGTTGTATGGGAACCACAGTTAAATATTTTGTTATTCTGTTTTTTAGTGTTTGTTGTTATAGCCAGAACAGAAATACATCATCAATTTCAACTGTCTAACTATCACGGTTCATGAGATACATCCTGGTGACAGACTGCGTAGTCTTAGTAATAGGGTCCCATTTTTATTTACTGGGTATGGAAGCCTAAAAAGTATCAGAATTTATAAATTTCATTGATGTATGTTAACTGTATTTGCTTGTGCTAAAATGTGTAGGAGAATTTTGCTGCCATACATGTTAAGGACATGCTTTTATGAGCATTGTAGCTTTAGATAGCATAAATTAATGCAAATTTGTTCAACATTCAACCTAGCAAAACATTGTTTTTAGTAAAATTTAGGTCACACTGATAAGTCAAAAAAATTTTTAATTATGTTGTTACAATCTTCAACTTCATTATTTTAGTGTTTGTTGTTTATTGGTACAATTATCTCATGTCCTTAACACAAATTCGAATTTAAATGTTATCTTAGACTGTGTTACTACAGGTATTTCTTTTTCTAATTTCTCCATTCTAAGCGAAATGGGTATATACAAAATTTAACAGGGATTTTTCAAACTCAGAATTTGAGACTGCAAAAGTAAATATCAGCACAGCTGACTTTTCAAATGATGTCATTTGATAAGAACTATTATTACCTACAACCTTGATAATGTTGTATACATTTGCAAAATTACAAAATTTAGAGGTGAACATTTTGTTAACGCAAGTATTTAAAGAACTTTTAAAATAATTTTTTTGTGATTTCATTTTAATCATTTAAAAATTTATGAATTCATTTTTAATGCTATTTTTTATTCTCTCAAGTAGGTAATACCTTAATAGTAAAAAAGGGTATCTTAAGAGTAATAATTATGATTATAATTATAGATTTCTAACATTCTATTATTTTTCTAAAAGTAATAACACTGTTTTCTTACACTCAAAATTGCCATTTTTTGTTACAGTAAATCATTTAATAAAAATAATGTTGCCTGACACAAAAACACAATCTTGATGCAAAAAATTTGCAGTGGAATTCTTCGATTTATACAGTGTGTCTTTACAATCGCGACAATAAATGAACACACACATAGAGGATAACTTTTTAAAATTGTATTCAACATTTACATTCTTTAAACATCAATATTTATAGAGTTATTTAATTTTCCATAACAAAGAATTTTAGAACATCCTTACATATAAAACTGTAACGTAAAGTTCATTTGTAAAGGTCACAAAGCATGGCCGGCAACGCATTTGTAAGCCCTCGGGTGTTGCAGATGTCCATGGGCGGCGGTGATCACTTACCATCAGGTGAGCCTCCTGCTCGTTTGCTGCCTTCTTCCCATAAAAAAAAAAAAAAAAAAAATATGAATGGGTTGAATGAGTTTAAAAGAGACAAAACATACTGTTAGAAGGAGAGGCTTGTAATGCGGCGCTGTGGCAACCAATGAAAAAGTCTCTGAATGTATGAATCAGTCAGTTGTAGTTGTATAGGATGTTACAAATTTTGTTTCTTTTTTACTCAATTAGATTGTTTGAAAAATTTTTTTTTTGTAATTATGGATTTTTTTAACGTTAATATTTTTTTATGATTATTGGCAAATACGTGTGTTCATTTATCGTCGCGGTGGTAACGACACGCTGTATTAGATTAGATGAGTACCTACTAAGAATCAATTTTAGAATTATTTTCTTAAAAAGTTAAATTGAAGGAATAACTCTTTTTCATTCATGGAACATTAAACTATGCATTTAAATGTTGTGTTTTTCCATTCTTAAAACATTGTACTGACATGAAACCTTGAACTTTAATCCAGTGTTCGGTAAATTTTAACCTTGTTATATAAATTTTTACCATGAGTGTGGACTTAAATCATTATTTCCGTAATAATGGCTATTCAATATTTTTTTATCAACATATTTGTACGCAATGTTCCACCCACACCTTGTTGTTTAAAACCTGTACCAACAGCTGACACCCTAATGTTTATTATATCATAAAACCTTTTACTAAACGATGATTCACTATATGTTTTGTAGGTGGCTAATATTTTTTCGAGTCAAATTAGGAAATTTTATGGGTGTGTGGAGAATTATAGCCCAAGGCAGCTAGGGCTGGCAAAAAGAAGTTCTGTTTCAAATCTGTATCATAACTATGAATCAAAATAAGTTAACCTTTTTAATTATGCCTTAAAATCAGCAGCATTTCAAAGAAATCATAAATTTGCTCTTTAAAATTTATAGTAAAACTCTACCCATAAAACCTTGTAGGCCAAATAAGATAGGTACATGAAAATTGTGTTTCGAAATATGCAAATGTAAAGTAAGTTTAGTTACATTTATTTCTATCTATAAATTGTGTTCATATTAATGTTTGTCACATAATTATGATATGATAATACTGTATTATCTTGTATGGTTATTTAAAATTAATGAATACTTAAATGCTATTATAGATCTATACATTTTAAAAATAATTCAATAATTAACTTTGAACTGTCAACCCTGAAACACAATATTCACCATCTCTATTAGGAATGTTGTAATGTAAATTGAGCTCTACACACATTGAAATAGACATTGACAAATAGTTTACCTTATTCCTTTTAACCTGTTTGCCTAGCAGTGTCCACACATCTTTTGCAAGAGCTATCAAATTAATAATAATTATAGAAAAGTGTGGTGTTAGAGGTATGAGATCTATTTTTAAATCCCATCTTAAAGTAACAAATTATTGATAATATAATAAGATAATAATTAAGATATTGATATAGCACAGTGTTCAAAACATTTTTATTTCAAACCATGCAAAATATTTATGTTGATACTAAATTTATCTATGGTCATCCTAACTAATATTATAAA